TTAAAAATTATGGGAAGAGAAATAAATTATCGTCAGCGGCGTATTTAGCGTTGGATTTGGTGCTGGTTCGTTCTATAGAAATTTAATTCGTGAGTATTTTTAAAGATTGGCTATCATTAGTAATCTAATAATAGTTTCATTTTTTGGTTCCATCAAAGGCTTTAATAATTTATTTTCACTTCGAATCGTCTTTTTTCGATTCATTCGATTTTTTTTCTATTTATTTGTCATATAAATTCTTTCGTTTTGATAATTTATTTTCATACTCATTATTATTAATAGTTCTGATGAATCATTCAACAAAGTAACCCGCTTCACTGTTTACGACCTCCTGCCAACGATCCACTAACTGATCAATGCCTTGACGATAGAAATCATTAGGTTTTGACTCGAAATATTCATCAAGCCACGTTTTAAGCTCCACATCGTTGTTGAATGAAACACCCCTCAAATTGTTAGAAAGCGACGAAAAAGGTGGCAGTGTGAAGGGGATAAACCATAAAATAATGTGGGTGTGGTAGAACTTCCAAACTAAGCTCTTTAATTGCATGTTTGGTCATGTTAGCAACATGGAGACAATAGTGTGATTATTCAATTACATTGAATAATCACACTGTATCGCCGGAGAATCTTTTTTTTTTTTTTTTAGCTCAGTTTCCTCTTTCAGTCAGTTTATTTGTATAAAAAGGCTGAAAGATAATCTATAACATACGTCTTAGTATTGACCTTTTTTTAAGTATTTTATTTCCGTTCACAGCACAAATATCTTGAGAGGCGACCTTGATTAAAAGCGAACAGAACATATAGTAACATGCCCATTCTTGTCTACTTGGCATTCCACATCAAATCTGTGTATAATCTGAAATAAAATTTCAAATACGTTAGACAACAGTTTCAGAATTAGTAAGATTCACATAAAATACTACAAAGGATTATTCTTCGAGATTATTCGTAGAACATCATAAAAAAACGATTGAATATATGTAACAATCAATTATTCTTTTTTGCAATCTAAAAATGACCCATTTAAGGTGATTATGTCGAATCTAACAGAAAGAAAAAATGGCAGTGAAAACAGTTTGGATAGAGATGTCCGTTTTTTGGTGAAAATTTAGTTGACTAACCCATTGATTTTAATATGTTATGAAAGAAGAACAAACTAGAACTTTTATTCATAAAATGTTATTTGAAAAGAGACACCTATTTTGTTAAAAAAGATGTTTACCTGGTGAAAGTGTAACAGAGAGATCCTGAAAATGAAGGATAACAATCAGAAAAACAAATCGAGCTAATTTTAAGCAATGTGCCATATTTCGTCAGAACATAAGCGATCATGGATATCCACAACTTCCTATCCTTCGTGGCTTCAAGTGATTTTTGGTTCCATCCCATCCTTTTCATTCCCTGTTCAGTTATTCATATCCATAAGCTCATTAGGTAAATCACCCGTGGCTTCCATCTACTCCTCTTATGTATGTCCAGTGAGAGTCGAATTCTCTCAGCCAGCTTCCCTCTTTAGGTGTCTCATGAATTTCAATTGCCTCCTTCTGAGACTACTTATAAGTCCATTTTATTTCTATTTTCCTTAAAACTTCCTTGTTACTCACATGTTCCATCAATGGCATTCTCAGCATCGTTCTGCCGAACTATATATCTGTTTCTCGGGTGAAGAGTCCTCATTATTTGCATCCATTTCATGTACATTATCGTCTTCATCTTTATTCATATTATTACAGTATCTCGGCCGCTGTGCCCCTTATTCTTTAGAGAATTCGGAACAGAGCCCATTATCTAATCGACGGGGGTAGATTTTTCTCTTTACAGTACCATGCACAAGGGTGTCTTTAGTTTTATTTTAGTACCACTCTGTTAACGTTCGCTTCAGTTACAGATAGATATCCGGCCCATGGATTGAATTCAAACGTACGATGTCACCAAATCCATGAACCACTTTAACTCATAAGGCAATTTTCTTGTGGAATAATCCCGAGTAAAGAACTTGGACTCTTAAAACTAACCTGCCGTCTAATGTGTGCTGTCGGTGCTTGACACACTTGACTGTACATTCTGAGGCTTCTCTTTACTGCTGTGGTTGTTGCTGCTGTTAAAACCTTACTGTCATCTCTCCAATATCACATTTATTTCTATACTAGGTCATAGATGAACATGTTGCGTTAAGCTTACTCTTCATCTGCAATATAAAAGGATTAAAAATTGTTTAAGTTAGTTTTCTTTCCTCGAAAGAAATTGTAAATCGAGGAAAACGTGTTAGAAATGGGGAACACCCGGAATTGTTGATTTATTTTCCAACTTCCAAAAGGGGGTAATTAACAAGATAAAAGCAATTCCTCTCTCTTACTAAGAACAAAAAATAATGCTCCCTCTATTACTGAACATCAAATACACGATATTTATTCTGCTGCAGTATATTCAATTACCTGTGATGAGTCATGTGAGATAAATGATGTTAACAGATCCCATTGTTGTGTAGATATGTTAATAATAAAGTTCCCAGAGAAGAATAATTCAAAATAAAATCACTTAGAGGACAAAGAAGAGGCAAACATATTCGTCTCTATCTTTTGAATTGTTCGAAAGACAAAAGAGTTATCATTAAATATGGGTTTTAAGTTGCAACTGTTGGAGCAACAATTATGAAAGGGGTGAAGAAGAGATTTGTGACTACTAATGAATTAACTTTTCACGGTGCCACTAGGAGGTACAGAGCGCTTAAACATTTCTCTTGTAAGCATGAACGAAAGAAATCGTGTAAGCATAATCGTAAACTTGATAATGGAAAGAGGTCTAAATCATCTACAATAATAAGCATTACTAGAAAATGTAGATTTTACTTATTCATAATTATTGCTAAATAATAGTTTTATAGAGGTTATTCTCTGAAATAATTTACAGCCTTTTCTTTATCATTTCATTCTAAGAAACTCGAGGAAACTACTAAAGAGTGAAATAATCTGAGAACGCAAACATTATTATTAATGAGTGAAGAAAATAACAGGTAGAACAGAAGATGGTGGATTGAAATCAAATTTTGATTTGAAAGCAAAAAGAAAAAAAAAACTGAAATGATTTACAGCGTTGTTTTAATCATACCCCCCCATGCAAGGCAATAAAGCCATTAAGAAGCAAGGGGTTGACTGCATGTGAAAGAAAGAATCTGAAAGAAAACTTAAAATTATTAACGAGTGAGGACAATAAAAGTGCAGAAATTAATTAGACAGAGAATCGGCGAAAGAACCAAAAATTAAAACGATTCCAAGACCAAACAGATGTTTGGTATTTGGGATCCAATTCTGGATAAATATCAACCAGTCAGTTAACTGCTAAATTAGATATTAAATTTTAAGATTCCGGATTCTATATTTTTTTACATGAACCTATCAGAAAAAAATTCCTTAAACATTTTTGGGAGATAACAATTTTTTTTTCCAGGTGCAAGCCTGAATTGAACACAGGGCGCTGACTGAAGAGATGGATTCATGCCTTTGCCAAGGGTATTTGCGAGTAAATGAATGTAATGAACTCGACTAGAATTCGAACGCTGCACTCCGATTCCTCATTGCGAACCACTCTCCTTACACCATCCGCAGATCAGGTATTGACACGAAAGGGAATTAGTATTGACAATGGAAAAGTCAAATACATCACACGATTAAAATCAAAAGAATAAAAAATCATTAGTGTTGGGCAAGTATTCGTGTGACAGCGACAGGAAGGAAATAGAAGAAAACAATATAATCATTACAAAATACGTTAGAGTAAGTAAAGATGAAAGGAAAGATAAGAAAGCATTTCACTGTTAATGGCTTGGGAGATAAGCACATTAATTATTGCGCTACAGTCGACACTCGTGATATTGATATTTTCTTTTTTGTGAAATGGATATTTTTTGCACCAGCTTATCATAGGGCTGGCAATTATTTCAAGCATGCTTTTTATGCATGAATAAATATGGCAACTGGTGGTACCCCATGGTATATTAGAGTCAACATCCGATTTTTGTTTTTGTTTCAATAGAAAAAAATTAATGTTAGAATAGTGTATCTGGCATATTTAAGTAACGATGGGTCAGAGTGTTAAACCAATTAACTCAATCTATGAGCAAACTATTCCTTACGTTTATGTTTTTTAATAACGTAGTTGTCTTTTATAGTCAATATTAAATAAAATTGACTTGATTACAACCTCAAGTTAAATCAACAATGAGATTATATTTTATTATTTTCTCTAATTAATTTCATAATTAATAAATGATGATATATTTGCTTGAGAACATCCACACGATGTGAAAAGGCGACCGCATAAATTTGATTGTTAAAATGCCTTTCATTTGTACCATAATTAATTGTTCATTTTTTTTTATTTTGTTTCCATACAAGATGAACTCAAATAAACTTGCCTAGATCGGTGAGATTCAACGTGGGCGATAGAACCTCCTTGGTAGTGTTGTGAAGACTCAAAGAGGGCTATAGTTGTTCAAAGAACGTTTTATTTGTGCTACCATTTTACCGGATTTGTATGGTTATTTAACCCTTTTATCACATATGCAGTTATCGGCGTGGCAATTTGAATCTTAGGAAAGACGGCAAACCTTCTCTTCATCATTCACTAGCTATAGAATACAGGCCACGGAAACAGGGAAGACAGATATCTGGTCTTGCATTGTAGACAATGATAGCGACAAGGAAGAGAATACACCGAATTTTGAAAAAAAAAAATGAAGAAAGCAAAGGGAAACCACTCGGCAAATTTTACAATAGAGCCATGACAATTCACAGATAATAAAGAAAAGAAATCTGTGGAAAGTCATTATCAAGTACGTCTTGAAGGGACATGACATTAAAAAATCTCATGTGCCACAGATCTTTATTGGCTTGAGCTTCATCATTTTATATATGCGTATGTTTGCCTTCTACTTAGATCAGTAATTTTCAAGCAGTGTGTCGCGACACATTAGTGAGCCGCGGCACAATCGTGAGACGATGCACAATGGTGAGCCACAGCACTCTTTTGAACCGCGGCAAACTGGTACTAGTGAGCCCCTGAACAATAGTAAGATGCTACACAATGGTGATCCACGGCACACTGGTGAGCCGCTGCACAGTGTTGAGCCATCTGCACACTGCTGAACCACCTGCACACTAGTGAGCCATTGCACACTGGTGAGACATGAAAGGACAGTAGGCGATATGTGGACATTTTTAAGAGTCATTCATTAAAATATTTTCGAAAGAAATTCACTTACTGAAATGTACATGACGAAATTAAAACCATTTTAAAATGATTATACGATTATATCATTGTTAAAAAAGAAATGACAGAGGATGGCATTTGAAATATTCAAAAACAGATATTTCATCCTTTATACTTTATACGGCTTTCTTCTCGTTTCGTTTTGTCATTCACCTTAATTTATTCTTATTCCATTCCCATACCTTTTTACCATTTTGTTATTTCTGTTCCCCAACATCAAATAACATTTTTCTTATCTTTACTTACCGTCAGGGATTTGCATCGTTGTTAGTTCTCTTTTCTCTTGCTTAAGGGTGAATTTCCAACTATTACAAAAAATAGCAATAGAAATACTTCGTTTCTCAACGTTATATTTATGTGAAGTTAGCTTTTCTGCAATAACCTATATTAAAAACAAAAATCGATCATGGCTAGAATCCTGGGAAGAAAATTTAAGAGTATGTTATAACAAACAGAAAAATAAAAATGTTTTTTTTAAGAACTGTAATTATTATCTTTTATTACAAACGATAATAAATTGTTTTGTTTGTGTTACTAAATAAATCATAAAGCGTATACTTATCATACTTATTATTATACTTATACTTATATCATCATAATTTAAGTGTCCAGCAAAAGTTTAACTATAGATTCAAGTGTCCCCTGAGATTAAAAAAAAAGTTGAAATCATTGATCTAGATACACTTTAGAGATACATTTTTTTAAAAATAGATAGATAATATGCGATATTTCTATCGAGTAAAAACCTGTGAACTAAAGTTCGGCAACTTCAGTAAATTGACGCAGTGACTGCAGCTTACCTATCCCAGCTGAATTATACTTTCGGTGATAACCACGTGACATAAACTGCGTTGCATTTACGTTGCTCCATTTATAAGTACAAATTTAATATAGGGGTCACAAGATCACGTAAATATTTGAAAAGGGTCACTGAGGAAGTAAAGGTTAACAATAACTGACTTCGATAAATTTACACAGATTTTCCCGATCACAATGAACTTAAACCTCAATAAATTTGGGATCAACCATTATGTATCCTACATATCCTATTCCTATGCACTTTTTACTTCTTCTAACGCCTTAACAACTGCTTCATTTAGCAATTCTCTTCCTTGAGTTTCTCTTGGGCCTACTATTAGGTGAACAATAGTATAAAAGAATTATAATGGAGTTAGGGGATAGGTTTAAAACATAGCATACTACCTGATTACAACATACGATTACCGGTTAAGCAACGTCAAACCTGGTCAGTAATTAGATGGGTAACCACTTGGGAATACCAAGCGCTGCAACCTTGGATGTGTAGTAGTGTAACGGATAACGAAATGTGGAATCAGAGAGTTGAGTTCGAATTCTAGTTGGTATAAATGTTTCGATTCCTGTCGGAGAATGGATTTTTTCTACATGTCAATTTTCATACTGTTTCTGAGGAAATTTGCAGTCTTCAATATTAGATTTTAAATTACACAATTTATATTCGGATTATTGTCCACATCTTGTTGTTAATACAACATTTGGCCTGTTGTGCCCTTCGGCCTTCATCAAGTGTATATCGATCTGGGTAACCTACAAGGAATTCTGAACTAGACCCTTTATTTAATCTACGGGGGTAGACTGTCTTCGTTCCATTGCTCATGTCTAGGAATATCCCCTAGTTTATTTTTAATAATGCTCAGATATTGCGCGCCCTTTTCTACTGAGTGCTAGGTTATGAGGATAGAAATAAATACAATATGGGAATCTTACTCAGGTTGTGTGTGTGTGTGTGTGTGTGTGTGTGTCTGTACGTTTATATATTGGATCGGATTTCCTACATTTTTCAATCGATTTCAACAAAACTTCACAGGACTACGTAAAATTACCTTGCGGTGGTTCTAACAGCGCCAAAAATTGGAAAAACACAATTGTTTTTGCACGAAATCAATTTGAAAACACGATTAACAGGCATCACGAGAATGAAAGGGGGACAACTCACATCGAGTTATACTTATTATAAAACCCAGGTTGTTTGTGTGTGTGTGTTCGTTTATATATGGGATCGGATTTCCTACATTTTTCAACCGATTTCAACAAAACTTCACTTTTTTTTGGCAGGTAGTGTTTTTTTATTGTCTTGCACACTTTTTTCTTTATTTTTACATTCAGAATGCTTTTAAAATTCCATTTACAAGACAATTGTTTATAATAAAATTCTATTCAATCGGTAGATTCATAACGATTGAAAACAATGTTTTTGTTTGATTTCGGGTTTGACTAATTCGTAAAAAAACCCAAAACTAATTAAGACATGCGTGTCCATCAACCTTAAACAATAATCTTTGTCAATTTTATTTTTCAGTCTTTATGATGGTCGATACTTGATCTATCTCTTACTATTACATCCCCGGGCAACGCCGGGCTCTACTGCTAGTCGTTAATAAAGAAAGAAAGACAAATAACTGTAAGTCTTTAAAAGCAGTAGCAGTCAAAACATGACAGACATCAGCAGTATCATCAGCAGTAGCAACGCTAAGCAGCAGGCACGTTAGGTTTAAGGGTCCAAGTTCACTATCATGCACTGTTCTACGAGGTAATAGTCTAGTGGTTTAAAAGGCTGGGTTTTTTTTATTTGGTGATGTAGTAATTGCGAGTTCTATCCCTGAGATGGGCAGTGTATATTTGAACTTAGTTATCTTGATTCTTTTTTTTTCTGTTTTCGGTTTATCGTTGACCGAGATATGGGTAGCAGAATGAGCAGTCTTCCTTCGTAGATGAAATAAAATTAGGTTATCCAGATCGATATAGCCCTGATGGAGGTCGGAGGGCACAACCGCCAAAATATTGTGATAACAACAATAAAGATGAGGACAATATTCTGAATATAAATAATGTAAATAATAATAAATCCTCATCACAGAAATTCGGATAGATTTTATATGATTTCGTCTCGACCCTCATACAAAGGCTGTTCGCTATTTTGCTATGTCTATCTTAGCCTTAATATAGTTTTCTATTTACACTGTCTATTGATTAAACATACTTTATATTTTGACGTTGTCACTCCTGTTTGCTTTTTTTTTAGCCATCTTGCTACGTTTTTCCCCGTTTGATTCTTTTCCTTCGCTTTTCGTTTTGTCATTCACCTTAATTTTTTTATCCCATTTCTGTACCTTTCTACAATTTTGTTCTTTCTCCTGTTCCCCCCACATCAAATACAATTCTTCTCATCTTTACTTACTGTCAGAGATTTGTAACGTTGTTATTTTTTTTTTCTCTAGCTTCCTTCCTGTCGCTGTCATAGGAATTCTTCCTCACAACATCACAGCTTTCACTTCCTCGCTTTTTCTTGGGGGTTTGTCTTTTTGCTTTAATCGTGTGGTTTGTTTTACATTGTCATTGTCAACCCTATTTCTCTTTTGCGTTAATCATTTTTTTTTCAGTTTCCATCCTTCAAATTTGTTCTAATTTTAAATCTTTTTTCTCTTCGAGTCATGTTCCTTACTATTTAATAACAATGTCTTTCTCTTTTTCTTCTTCTTCTCGTGGTTCATTTTCACTTTCTCTTCTGTATTTACCGCGTATAATACAAAGCGAAGTAGTGGTGTATGTCTGCTTTGAAAATGAGGATTAGAAAAATTATCCTTTATTTGGGCTCGAACACCAACCACAGACACCACTTTAATCTCCATGGTATGAATTTAGTATGTTTTGTTATACACTGATTCATACAAACTTGTTGGTTGTTACAGTAACAAAATCCCATTATAAACGCATTCATTTCGTTCGAATTATCAGCCATTTGTAGGTTATTTAATGCCAGAAAATATTTTAAGATTGTAAGAATATTGTTTTTGGTGATAATAGTTCTTTACTGATACAATTCTTGATAATTAATCCATAGGTGGGGAAAGAATAGGTGGATTCATGCCGTTTCCCAGGATATTTGTACGTAAATGAATATAACGAGCCCGACTGGAATTGGAACTAAGATCTCCGATAAAATATTCCAAGCTATTATCATTTACACCACCCGCTCATCCAAGACAACAGCACTTGATGTTCCCAAGGGATCACCCATCTAGATACTGACCAGTCGAGGTGAAAAAAGAACTCTAAATTCCAAACCGGTTGAACGTAGACCTATCAAATCTACCTGAAATTTTTTTTCTTTTATAAAGAAATGACAGCAGCAACAACGACATTGGAGAAGCTTTGGCCTTCTACTCCACTAGGAGGAATCTACAAATTTTACAACCTACAGGGCGCGGTGGGTAAATTGTCACCGTTTTATGTTTCTAATTTCGCGCATGCGCATAATTTATTCTTTTCTTTTTTTTTATTTTGTCCATTGCACAGTATTGAAGGGTCATTTGGGCGCCGTCTGTGAGAAAAAGAACACCATGACGCAATGGACTTCGCCAGAAATTAGGATACGGTATACTGTAGAGCTTGGCATTCGCACCGGAAGATACAATACGAACATTTCAGAGAGTGAAGAGGATTCAGAAAGTCTAGTCTGGTTAAGTGTCTATGGAGATTCATTTATTTATCTTTTATTTATTTTTTTATTATATATATATATATATATATATATATATATATATATGAAGATAATGAGACACAAAATGTCATAATTCAATGAAATTGTGATCAGATTGTTATGGGATGGGATGGACGTATGTGCTGTACATCTTGAAAAACAAGAGGTGATAGATGTGAGCGTTTTCTTTTTTTTTTAACAGGAATTACTACTTTCTCAAGCCAACATACATGACAAACTGTCTCATCATCGTCATCATTATCAACATCATCGCTATCTATCTCTCTCAGTGTCTCACTCTCTTTCTCTCTCTCTC